TTCCCGAACCTAAAATAATGAAACAATTATTTCTCAAAAACGAATAGACAAAAGTTTAAAAAAAATACACAGTTATATAGAGAATTGAAAGACCTTTCAAAAGATGTATCACTCGACTCCCTTTGCCATTTAAATGTTTTGAGGGGGTGGCCGTGTAGGGTAGAGGGATGATGATAGGTATACAAGTATTACTTTAAAATACGTCCCTCTTGGAAACAAGTTCGACGTGTTTCACCAATTTTTCAAACAATTTTTATATTTAAAGTTATTCAGGGTACCTACTTTTGGTTGAGACACCCTGTATAGTATCTTGATATACATCCTAGCACTGTACGGAATAGGCACTAAATTAATTTAATTGACAAATTGGCCTATAACTATTTACTCTGTAGTGAATATCGATGGTTCGAATCCATCTCGGAGCAAGTTAGAAATAATATTTGTAATTTATTTTGGATTGAGATGGAACAGAACTATCGATGCCCTAGATGTGGTTTGGATCCCACAATAAACTGCCGGGCCTCGTCTTTCTTTACCCAACACAAAATCGTAGAAGTTACTTCGGTGACGTGAAAGGCGGTTTAGAAAACATTCAAAGAAAACGTTCAGAAAACATTCAAAGAAAATATCATTATTAAATTTCCATAGCCAATTAATTAATACATTATAAAATATTGGGCACTTTTCCGTAGCCAACTTGATATGTCCGAAATTTAATTTTCAACATTAAATAACTCAAGAATTAAAAAAAGATTAGTATAAGTTATTGAAATCAGCAAAATAGGATCAGAAATGTAGGGTTAGATTTGTAATGTTTTCTATTTGGCGTTGCGTTGGTTTGGCAGTCTAAAAACAAAAAAAATACTTTGATTGAACTATTCAACTGGTTTATCATATGTTCTTATCTCTAGCAATAAATCGTATAATTAAAGGTCTGTATAAACTATGTTTTTGTAGGAAGATGTTTAAAATGTCGTTGTTTGGATGATAACCTATATCATCCAAAAAAAGGAGCAGAATGATTTAAATATTTACTATGATTTGTGTTTGTTAACACTTTAAGGTAAAATCAATCTGAATTTATTAATTATCAACATGAAGTTATCAAAATTTATGGGACGAATTTATGGCATATCATAATCTATGCAATTTAGGGGTTTCAATATTAATACAGCACACGATAAACAGTTAAATGTACAAAGTTGTAGTTTATAACCTCGAAATAGTCAGACATTATTGGCTCACAAAAGAAACCATGAGAAAAATCAATGATTAAGTGTATTCAAATATAATAAACTTGAGGTTTTATGTTAGATTTGTTTGTATTTGTGAGAAATATAAACAAGGGTGGATGGGGAGATATTTCAACCCCTTCATGAAAGCGACGTCGGCCGGTCTGTACGATACCATTACTGATGCCATAACTTCCTATATTTTATGAGCCTTTTAATAGTAACGCGTGTCTGGATATTTGCAACCATTAAATAACACTTTATAAACCATTTGCAAATGAAATGAAAACGCGTTGACACAAAACTAGGGACAAATAAACACTACGCATTTCACGAGTTGCAGTACAACATTATTGAATATTGAAATGAAAATGTATTATGTCGATACAAACAAATTATAACCATTTCGATCCATAGTATTGCAATTGCAACAAAGTCCGTAATACGAATATGTGGATTCATTAATAACTAACAGTGTCGCAACCAAAAATTATTTAAGAGTGGTCAGGAGCGAAGACAGGATTTCATAGGATGTTTCAAACTTTGAGATGTTGGGAAAGTTTCTTTGACTATATCCTTTATTTTTTTTTTCATTTATTTATCGACGGCTTATTTTCCAGGGTCAATCACCCAGGCTAGGAGCCAAGCTACCCACAACTTGGAAATTTTGTCAAACTTCTAATCTACTACTTATCTACATTTAATAGACAAGGGACCGATTGATTTATATCCTCTCCGAAGGATGGTATATCACCTACACAACCCTCGTCTAAGATTGCATAGTTACAGCATATACGCAGATATACAAGCCGCAAGAAAACAGTACGAGGTCACCTGGTTTCTAGGATAAAATTCTATGCTTTTTCTCATAAAGGTTCATTTTGCAGAATTTCGATTCGGGAAAATGGAATCAATATGCGATGATATTATAGCATAACAATGACTAACGACACACAGACACTCAAACTCACATATGGGTCTCAAAACGTCTATTTTCATCATAATCTGGAATTCGATATTTATCACGACTGCAGTACTTTCTTCATATGGATGAGAAAGTAAAAACGTGTGATTCAGAAAATTTACCAAAGACCCGATTGAAAGGGCTCATTTAAAAGGCGCGCCAACCTCTAACATCATCTACTCTGCACATGCGCATTTATACACTATGTCCCAAATTGGGGATGCATGCATTGCTATCTCGGTTATTATTAGAGATAGAGAAACGGTTAAATAAGGACTTTTTTTGAAGCATCTTATGAACGTTTCGATGCCGTTTTTAAATTTGGTCTAGCCCTGTCTGTTTTCTAGATATTTTCAAAAAACTGTAAAAGTGTATTTTAAATAACTTTCCGTATCTGCCTAATTTGATGACTGGTGATATTTTAATAAGTTAGGACACTTTATTAAGGTGCTTTCGTTGACGTTATCGAAAAATTTCTATTGTCATTTGTTTTTGAGTTAATGCCACTAACTTTGTTTTTTCTTATGGGCGCCATATTGGATTTTTTGATAGTTCAATAGTGCTCTTAATTTCCTTTTCAACGATGTCACAATATCAGGAAAAAATTAGTTACTGATGTAAAATATGATAAAATTCAATTTTCTAAATAAATTTATTTTAAAATAATCCGATTTTATTAGTTTCAGTTTCAACAAATTAATTAAAAACTTTAAAAATTTTTAATATGTCCTTGTTCATCAATGTACTTTTGACATTGCTTTAATATTGAACTACACGCTCTCCTTAAAGTATTTCTGTTAACAGCAGCCAAAGTATTTCTTACACATTCTTTTAAAATTTGAATATTTTCTGGTTGTTCAAATGCATAAACTTCTTTTTATGTATGCCCTCAAAGAATATAGTCCAACGGAGTGAGATCAGGAGACCTGGCTGACCTTAGAACGTTACCATTATTTGCAATAATTTTATTATCAAAAGTTGCTCATAAGAATTGTGTTACTATGCCGCATTATGTGTTGGACGACCATCATGACAAAACCAAATCTGGTTAATATCTTCTACAGCAAGTCTAAGAGCTGGTATTATTTGTTGTTGCAACATTCGAAAATAATTTGCACCGTTCAAATTATCATGATAAATAAATGGTCCAATAATACGATTACCTGGAAAGCATTTTTTATATGAATTATTATCAATGAACGATTTAAACAAGTTTACCTATGATGCCACACCAGACATTGAATCCAAATTTGGTTTAAAACCTTATTTGGCTAATTATGTGAGGATTCTGGATACTCCAGTAGTGTGTGCTATGTCTATTGAAAACACCACAATTAGTGAATCTAGTCTCATCTGTCCATAATACTTTTGAATGAGAGTCTGGGTTCTTTAGACATTTTTGTACAAATCAATCACAGTATGCTACTCTTCTCTCATTGTCATTTTCTTGTAAACCTTGAACGATGGTTGGTTTGTATGAGTGATAATGATTTTTCTTTAAAATCTTATGCACAGTTGTTTTGGGAACATCTACCTGAATTGAAATTTGTCTTACAGATGCTGTAACATTGTACGTATTCTAATACAACGTTAAGGCCGTCTTCGTTATCTATCTCATATGTCTTATTTCTTTTTCCATTAAACCGTCCATAATTTAATAAATTAATAACAAGAGTTCTAAAATACCTTTCATTTGGTTGCAACGTTTTGGAAACTTATCCCCATAAATTCTTGATGTCTCATCAGTATTTCTATTTGATTTAAAATAAATCTCAAGCATATTTAACTTTTCTTCGTATATCTCAAAGCCATAATAAATTCAAAAAGAACTTAATAAAAGAAACTCACAAAATTAGTTATTACGAAGTAATGGTAGATCACAGTGAAACACTAGTAAAAAAGAAAAACAGCAATTAGGACAACAAGAAGTGTCAATTAAACATTGTTTTGTCTATTGTCGTGGTAACAAGATCCATGGCACCTATTATTAGAAAAATTATACGATTATTTTATTTTCTTTGGACGGTGCAAATCAATTGAACAACTCATTTAAATGTGTTTTAATTTTTTTGTTTTAATTTTAAGTTGAAGCTAATAAAATCGGATTATTTTAAAATAATTTTTCTTAATGACATACTTAGAAAACTGATTTTTTTTTTATATTTTACACCAGCAACTAATTTTTTCCTGATATTGTGATACATCGTTGAAAAGGAAATTAAGAGCACTATTGAACTAGCAAAATATCCAATATGGTGCCCATTAGAAAAATAAAGTCAGTGGCATTAACTCAAAAATAAATGACGATAGAAATTTTTTGGTAACGTCAACGAAAGCACCTTAAAAAAAAGTGTCCTAACAATGTACTTATTAAAATATCACCAATCATCAAATTAGGCAGATACGGGAAGTTATTTAAAATGCACCTTTACAGTTTTTTGAAAATATCCGGAAAACGGACAGAGCTAGGCTAAATTTAAAAACGGCATCAAAACGGTTATAAAATTCTTCAAACAAGTCCCCATTTAACCGTTTCTCTATCTCTAATAATAACCGAAATAGCAATGCATGCACCGCCAATTTGGGAAACAGTGTATACTTATTTGTATTAGTCTCTATAACTTTCCAACGTGTTGATTTACATGTTTTGAGGTTTGTCGCGTTTCAAATATAGATACGTAATAGAACCCTGAAGGTACCTCAAGGTAACTTTTTTTGTGAGAGATGGCTACACATTTAGAGACAATGGACACACACCCAATGTCCGAGTATGCTAGGATTAATTTCTGATTTAGAAAAAATCCTAGTTCCTCGACCGGGGATCGAACCCGTGACTCCAGGGTGAGAAGCAAGTGTCCTTACTATTCAGCCACGAAGCTATATAGATTTTTTTAAAAAAACATTTAAATGAGCAAAAACCTACAATTTGGATTTGAACAAAATATCAGAATAGTCCTCACATTTTTGTCTTTACATTTTTCACTTCAGCATTTACAAAATTTAAGATCAACAGATAAAATGTATCTATCATACACGAGTTTATATGAGTATACATGTTTTCAGAACTAGTTTTAAGATATCTTTGCTCCATTTTTTATACGATTTCTAGCTCGCTTAAGTTGGGCAAATGAAAACACAGAGAATAAAATTATAATTTCAAGGTTAAGGTGTGAAGATGTGGCATTGGACACCACAGAAGAAAATTAGATGATCAGGTTATATAATAATTTTGAAAATTCATGCCCTAACACACCATGACCTCACCGCAAATATTACAATAAAATTTATTAACCGGTTTTTCAGTATTTTTTTCTCCGCTTCATATGCATAATATTTTGGATACAACAAAGTTGATAATTTAAAAATCTTATGTATTCGCCCAGATGTCTTGAAATCTATATATTTTCAAATACACTATGTATCGTTCGTCTGTTATCATAAAGGTCCACTGCTCTTTGTTATCTTGTATGTTTAAAAGAGCCTTATGATAATATATTTAATTTGTTATACCTATTTTAGTAAAATTTGTATAAAACTGAATTCTAAGTTCAAGTAATTTAAGTTTTTGAAATTTTCATCTCAAGGAATGACATCGGAAAATAAAAATTAAAAATATAATAACTTTGACTGCTAATAATAACATTCTTTTTTAAAAATAATTACTAATTATATACATTTACAAAGTAGTCGATATCATACATCTTCGTCAATATTTTCACGTTGCTAGACGGTCAATATTGGTACAGCGTAAATTGTTATAACGTTTTACTCTAGTTGCCCATATAATCAAATCTTTGTGAAATAAATGTGGAGCAAAAAAAGAGTTTGAGTTAATTTTTATTAAATGGTTTGTTACTCAAATACGTATATCCTTTAAAGTACTACATTCGGTTGTTTATTTATAATAAGTAAAATAGTGTGTTTGTTATTTTTCATAATTTCGAATATACATACATCTTCCATCAAATTGCCAAGATATTAAAAACAATAAATCATTTAATAAGCAGAACACACAAAATTAAGTCAGAATTGTGGTTAAGGCATAAGGAAGTTTAAGTGTAATTAATTCGTTGACAGGGAATAAATCAACAGTTGAAAAGTACTGGTTTAATTTAATTAATATCTGCTCGCGGTTATGTAGATTATAAATAACTCAAAAACAGATGAAGACCTTGTGTGCAATTTTAAAGAATTTTTAATTACAATACTTTAAGTTTAATTAAACTTTGCTCATTTACGAAACGCAGAACTAATTTCATTATTTCGAATTTAGTAACGACTAATTTTAGGCAAATTTCTAATTTAAATTCTTATTATCAAGTATCGCACTGAGTCACTTCAAATCGTCTATGATTAATTAAAAATACATTGCTGTACATTTCATACATCAAACTGAATTTACGCCCTCAAGTGATTGTGATCTTATTAATGTCAAAAACATCTATCAAAGCTGCATTTTAGAAACAGAAAGGTAACAACGTTCATAGAAAAAATTGTTCGTTTTTTGAAACTAGACCTTACTGTTTTATTATTAAAGCCTACCCATTTTAAAGCAGCCTAGCGAGCGGAGACAGAGAGCGGACGTACGACATAAGTCGAAAATTACGCATAGCTACAGGTTTCCAGCGACCAGTAGGTTATCTCGGCTTGTCACTATGCACAGTAATCGGTGGCCTCTAAGCGTAGTACTCGCTGGAAGGGGTACGTTTTTTTAAGAAGTGAAAGCTTTTCTGTGGTTATGTTTCGTGCGTTTACTGCGTTCCAGATTATAGATACTTCCATTAGTTTTCCTCTGCTTTTAGCACGTATTTATAGACTTCATTTATTTTTTGTTTCTTTTTTAATGTGCTGTGATGGAAGCACCAAAAAGAAAAGCAGGTAACGTTTGTTGTTACTTAGAACGATATTATGTGTATGCAGATATTTGGACGTTGAACATTCATTCTTAAAATACGCCTTGATATTTATATCCCGGTTTAAAAATTTAACAAAGGATGCTATGAAAGGTTTATTAATAATGTAAGTGTATACTGGCAACCATAAACTGTTAATGGACGTAGCTTTGTAAGTTATATCATACCCCTTACCGACACCAGTCAATTTCTTAAAACGGACCGGCTTTATTTATTTTAGATCGGCGTCCCATTAAAGACACCTCAGGCGCTGTGGTTTCGTTAGCACTGGAAGTTTAAAGGATGTGTCTTTTTACCCTCAATGATCTGAGAAGAGTTAGACTTATGGTAAACATGAATAAACTCCACGAGAAGTAAACCTGTCGACAAAAAATCATACACCAAACTTCTACTTCCGAAGTACTTCTACTGAATTCCACTATTATAACTATGAATTCCAGGGAATTCCAAAGAAATTCACGGAATGTCAAGGAATTTCAAAATAATTCCAAGGAAATCCAAAAGTATTCCAAGGGAATTCCAACAGTACGTGTATTTTTCTTAGACGGAAATAAACAGTTGTTTTTTATTATTTATTGTATAAAAACGGTTTATAAGAACATTATTGTAAAAGGCATTATATAAAGTTAAAAAATAAATACTAAAAATAAAATAAGATAAAATAAGAACAATAATTTCAATACATTATTATCATGTTAGGATGGGAATAGTTACTACTTATTACAACAAAAAAGAGAGTTTATAAGCACATTTATAAAAAATTCATAAAAGAGGTTCTAAAAAAAAACACCAAAATAAAATTGGCCTTTCTTTTGAATAATACTGGAACCAAATTGCTCTCAAACAAGGTATTCAAAATTAAATTCAGATTTGAAATAATCGCTTTTTCGGCAATCTCGAATGCCATAAAATATATCTAGTATTGAAACTGTTTCCTCTGGTAGAGCATATGTTCCCTCAAGTGATGAAGAAGGAAATAGTGATAAATGTGAATTCTCTGAGAAACTTATAAATTAAGAGTAACAAGACATAAGAAATGATTATCTTGGCTGACTGTCCACAAATTCCCTTAGTTACTTATACTTCAATCAGTAGAATTTTTTTCCCTACAAAATGTGCGATAGAAACGAGTTTGATAAATGTATGTTGTTTTGATCGGGACGCTGATAAAAATCCAAGTTTTTGACTTTCGGAGGGGGAGGGGTGAGCCGCCATCTTGAATAAAAGGTGTAAGAAATTGGTGTTTTCAAAATAACTCGGTCGATCCAACGACAGAAATGCCAGGGACAAAGTTTAAGGATAATGATTTTAGTACATGTTACCCATTTGTGTTTACAATTCGCATATGTCATGAAAGTAACTACATGTTATTTATATTTAAAAAATATAATACAATGATAATGTAAAATAAATGATGCTATAATATAAATCATATAAATAACTAATTTTTGACTATAATAATAATTGTAAAACTTCTGAGGAATGCCAAAAACTTCTAAAGAATTCCAAGGATATTCCAAAGACTTCCAAAGAATACCACGGAATTCCATATGTTTGTCTCCATACTTTGATGTTCTTGGTAGAGGGGATATCTGGTCTGATCACCACAGTTAACATGTTGGGAGCAAATAGGTGAGTAGTTACGCCGTGTTTAACAACACAGGTTGTATCAACACAACATCGGCTAAGTAATCTCTGCGAAAATAATGAAAAAAGAGCGATAACATCAAAATGTGATGATTTTAGAGAGGTAAATAATCTCGTAAGAGTTGAATCAACCATCCATATGGTTCGATTTGAATTGAGCTCAAGAAAAGCATCATTTATCCCTTCGAGAAGTTGGTTTAGATGAAAATGTTAGTCGACGCTATGGACAGATTTTATCATTAAGTTTCTCATATTTTTGTCAGCACTGTATAAAAATTGTTCCCTTCTTTACTCACTGACTAAGGGAAACTACCACTTTCGTCGAAACTTGTTGATCGATGCTTGTTTGCTGATATAAAGTTTATCTCGTCTCATTCGTTACTGGCTGAGGATGATATACTTTAGTTATTTGAAGAATGCTATATCTTCTCTTTCACATAGTAGTTATTTGTCGTGGCGCATTCGCCAGAATTGATAATTATGGTAAAAATTGACAAAATTGCATTGAAACTGTTATTTATTTGGACCGACAATTATACGTATTTGGAGATATATTTTTTATACATACTAAACTACATTTTGAAAAATAAGAAACTCGTCAAATTAAAACAGGTAACTATTAAATTTCACAAACATTTTTTTGATATTTGAGCTCAGGGTCTTCTCAAAATGACCGCTTGAACTTTTCCAGCACTTTTATCTAGATAGCGTTCCTCAAGGCTCTATACTGGGCCCCCTTCATTTCTTGATATATACGTCAGCTTTACACGACAGAATTAAGCAAACACGTATACAGTTCTTTGTTGACAATACGCAGCTTTACTATCATTTTGACTCTGGAAGTTCGCCTCATGCTGTTGTACTAATCAACAGTGAACTGGCTCATATTAGTGACTTTGCCCAAAGTCACAACCTATGCTTAAATGCTCAAAATCTAAAGTAATATTGTTCTGCCATAATAAAAAAAGAGATGAGCTAAAAATAGCATGAGTAGTCGTATAAGCAATGAAATCATTCCTTTTGTTTCCTTTGCAAAAAAATCTTGGATTAAATTTTGACCGAGATTTTGACGAATATCTCAGATTTACTGACCACGTCTGCAATCTCTCTAAACAATGTTATCTGACACTTAAATTTTTATATTATAACAGATAAATACTAAATTACAATATCAAAAAAAGATTGTGCCAAAGTTTAATTCTATCAAAATTAATTTACTGTAATATACAGTGTGGAAATTAAGTAATGCATAAATTCAGTAATTCTGTTGATATTAATTTTTTGGAAAAAAATCTCAAACGGGTATAGCGATTTTAACT